TGACCAGTCATCAGGTTAGAGGCCGGATCACACTACATCCAAACCTGGAGGACTCGGAAAGTGAGGGTGATGAGGAAGGAGATGCCCTACGACTTAGTGTGCCCTCAAATGGCAGCCATAAGACAACTACAGTGTGATCATCTGGATTGGTGACACAAACTGCCATCGAAGGTCTGGGAAGGAGAGTGTCACTTTAAGCTCGTCCTTTAAATCTGCCTAGAGCATTGAGCATGGGACTCGAACTGGAGAACTTGAAAAGCCCTCGTTCATCTTTACAAATGGACTTATGGAGTCATATTTTTCTTGAGGTCATGGTTTACATCTGCATTTGTTTTGTTTTTGCCAAAATGCGTCAGATGTTTGTCCTGGCACTAGTTTTTAATTTTAGCCTAAAAAAAAAAAGAGGACGAATAGGCCTCTTTAGGCTCTGAGACCCTTGTAATCATAATCAACATTTTGTGGCAAGAGATTCCCAAACCTTAAAAGGCGGGTGTTTCTAATACCCCACGTTTTTTCACATTACGAGAAGCGATTTTGTATAGCGTAGTGTTTTATGCATTAAGAATTTGCATTGTCATAGCTTTTATTTTTTTAAATCATCCTTTTTTAACAAACCACGAGAAACCAGTGAAAGCATAACTTTTGAGGGAAACGTATTACGGAACACTATTATCTTTAAATGCACATTAAACTGTTCCATATTAATACAGTGGTGTCATATCGTAAGTTAGCAAGCCTTGTTTTCCTGGCATGAATTATACGATTGGGTCTTGAACACATTAAGTGTGGGTCAAGGAACCAGTATCTATGTAAATATGTACATGTTTTGATTGTTTTTCCATCTCCATTATTACTTGAAAATATGTATTCAATGGACGTCTTGTCTATATTGTAATGTATTGTACAGTTAAGTTGAAAGGGATGTATTACTGAATTAGGGAGGTCTTTGGAGGCAACACCTTTTCCTGGCACACTGCTGTCCGGTAACTTTTATGTACTGTAGCTCTGATGTAGTCAGTTCTCCATTTCACAGAATGGAGTTTTTGTTTTGTGCCTGGAAACATTCTATGAAATTCTTGCTGATTTACAATATTTTCTACAGTATGTGGTATGCTGAGCATGTTATGAATAATGAATACCTGCAAACTGATGGAATCGAAGGCAGGGAGTGTGTCGGTTAGTGGAACAATGTTCTCATTATTTCTGGCATTACTTAAGCCAAGCACTCACATGCAATGAGAATACATGTACACAGACTGCCCCTCTTTTTCTTTTTTATATCCATATTTGTACCAACTAGCTTCTGAATCAGTTTGCTTTTTTGCACAGATGACATGCATATCACTTCACAACAATGGAAACTACTACTATTCCCTGTTTATGTCAATTGAGCTTCACTCTACATTGTTGTTCTCCTCCAATGAGTTTGTATGTCCCAGTGGTTCATTTGAAGACTTGCAAAGAAAAGAAGTTATTTCACATCAGTCTGCTATTTCTGATGTTACGCTTGGCTGGAGATGAATAGCACCTGAGAACAAGCCTTAAAACCCATCATGATGGATGTAAAGTTGGTACACCATTTGCCCACCTTTTAAAACGGCTAGTTCACCTCCAAAAAATAGGACTTTGCGAAACGAACTTGCAAAGCACAAAACACTAAAGTGATTTAAAGTTAAGTAAAAACATTATTTAATATAAACTAAAACCTTACAAAAAAATTAAGTTCCTGTGGAATGTTCCTGTGGGCATTAGAGGCTTTACAGACTGTAGACAATGCAAGATAAGTGTCTTGAAGATGACAGATATGTTGATTCAGATCACAATAAAATATCATTTGATAGTGGCCTACGAATGTCATGCTTTGTTCGCATTTTTCCGTGAAGCATCAGAATTTACAAAAGAAAATAATAAAATAAAGTCATTGTTTATTGAGTTGTTTGATGAATCGAAAATGTAGTCGTTTTATATATATATATATATATATATTCAGATAACATTAACGCAACACAATTTTGCACATTTGTTTCTCTAGAAATCGAGAAAGAAACTTGCACCAATGTTTGGACGTGTATTTTTTCCTGTATTGTGCGAGATTTAGCTATTTGTTTACATTTTATGTAACAGAGTCTTACATGACAAATAAAACGCATTCAAGCTTTAAGCATTGCGCTTAAATAAACAGCTGCTGAAGGTACAGCCCTCCTTATACCGGATTACTATTTAGATGTGTCGCAGATAACGTTCAGGAAGCTTTTTGTCTATGCTCTTACGCTTAAAAACCCATGAGATGAGATGGGCTGCGCGCTCTTTGGCTTAAACTAAAACACCGCGACCATACTGAATTCATCTGAATAGTGTGATCAGGTAAGCGCTGCAATTCCTGTTGGCAAATGAGCCCTTGTCAAATTTAAATTGATTGATAGGTATAAATATAAAACATAATTCTTAAATCAGGGTTTCGCTGAGAGCAAAATCACAGTTCGCGCGTTTCCAGTTATGCATGAAGTTTCATACTGTACCTACGAATTTAACATTAATAAAACTCATTGACTCATATCAGCACTGTTTAATCAGTGCAAATGTAAACGATTTGATTTGTAGCGTTTGGTGTTTCGTTGATGGCACTAGTTTGTCAATTAGGACGTACATGAACGGATATTCGAGAAAAGCATCGCGTTATTTTGGTATAACGTTTTTGGTCTGAGAAATAATCTTTTATCTAGTCTGTCTTTATAACTATTATGCTCTGTATTTTAGAAGTGTAATATAATTCTAATCATTAGCTTATATTAACATTTTTATTCAGAAAAAAAAGCAACAAGACTACAGTCAAGATTTTTTTTTTTTTGTTACTGTCTACTTTCTAGTTCATTTTATTCTGAGAGTTGCTTTATGTATCGTTACACTGACGCGATTCTGGGAATGACAAAAGTATTTGCTGCTGATATTCCGTTATTTTTTCCAGTTATTACAGTGTTCTGTAAATAGCTTTAGGTTTCTGTCGCTTTCGTTATTTGGGATAAATAGGCTATAGCCTAACTGTATAAATACTATATCCAATATATGATTTTCGTGATGAAGCACAAAACAAAAGTGAGATAATGTTTGAGCATTAGTCAAGATACTGCCTATAGTGTCCTTACATTATCGGTATCCTATACCGGATGCCCTGCGGTGGCATGTCTAATCGACGGAGGGCACATTGCGCTTTGATTTCCTGGGCTTCGCAAACTCTTCTGCAGATCCTGGACTGTGTGATTGTAGGCTATCAGTGTAGCCTACTGATGGGCGAGACAGATTTCATAAATCCATGCAGACTGGTAAAAAAGTGATCGAAACTTGTCCAAATGACAAGTTGAAGCAGTAGCCTAACTTAGGATACATAACGGTGTGCCCACATCATTTTACAGCTTTTTTCTCAATATGACAGTAGCCTTGCGCTCTATGTAAGTGAAGTGAAGCGATTAATTTAGGAGACGGCTGTCACGAGTCAAAGGCAGGTGAGACGCAGACTGATGGACTGGCTGTATGGGCTCCCACTGATTGTCTGCCGCACGAGCTGAATGCGTGTCCCTGTTGTGTCCACGACAGATCACCAGCGTCCACTCTGAACAAGGCAGCTCTGTTCACTGAGCAGCCACGAAACTCGAGAACACCGTGACCCCGCTGGCGTGTGGACCGCTTTATTCCAAGGCCACAAAAAAAAAAAATGTTACCATATCACTTTGATAAAGCCCGCTTAATGAACCTACAGTCAATTAAAAAATCAAGAGCAGCATGTTAAGATGTTTAACTTCAAGGAGCATTTTAATTTCGGTATTAACTAGACTTAATATAAATGTAATTCCACAAAATGGTTGATTTTTCATTTTGAAAATGTAAATAATTATTTAAATTAAATATTTCATTAAAAATTAAACTTCAGAAAATGATTACATTGAGCCATCTCAAATGTTTAATGACATGCTATGCCTTCAAAACTGGCTTGACGGTAAGTTTTATTGTTAATTTGGCCATTTTTCGCCTTGCGCTCAAGGGCATGACAATTCATTGTGTTTATTAGAATGAAAATTTGATGTTGATATTTCTACAAATGTCAGTTTCATTTTTTTTATATAGTTTTATTTACAAAATCATAACAGGGTTGACTATCTAAGATCAACAACTATTCTGGACAAAGGGAGAAAAAAACAAAGTTGTTAAGAGAGGACAAACTTTCTTTGAAGAGTTGAAGGTGTCATTATGATGACGTTTAGACTGTCATATGACATTTTTTAATGGAATTGTACATGAGGGGGCGTGATGACGATAAAAAGTTGACACATAACCTGAAACTAAAATGTAAAAAATATAGAATTAGGCTAAAGAATAAATACAAAATTACAGTTCTACTTTCATTAGAACAGCAAGATTTCTTCATTTTTTTTAGCAAAGTGTGCATTTTCGAATGCAGCACACGAAAATAAATGTAAAAATAAAGTATAGCCTACATTTAGGCTATGTTCGATTTTTGTTGATGTGCATATATACTGCATATAATAAATAAGTTGTGTTAGCATTTACACATATTCATGTTTAAAATATATTAGGCCTAATTAAAGACACAAAAATATCCATCAATGACATTCATATTGTGTTAACAAAACACAAAACAAGCAAAAAGTATGCTGTTTTCGGAAGTAAACTACTTTTTTGTTAACAGCCAGTTTTTAATACCTGCACAAATCATGAGTCTATAGAGGGAGAAGCCACAGGCTGGGTTGTCGTCTCCGCGTTTCCTCTCCCCCTGCAGCTAGGGATTGAGTAACACATTGATAAAACAGTGTATCACTTATCCTGATAGCCACGGTTCCCCCCGGACCTGTCTGTCCTCTCATAGTGGGGCGGACCAATCACAGGCCTAAGGCTTGGTAGTTGTTCCTTTAAAGCACCTGTCTTCATAACACCTGGCAGACGAGAGAACTGCTTTACGCATGCTCCCACTCTGCCATATCCTCTATACAGACGCGCTGCTCAACCAATGGTCTTCAAATCTTTTCAGAGATAAAAAAGCCGCCGCATCCGTGGATCTGACAGATTGCCTGATCTTCACTAATGACTGAGGACATAGCAGGAAGGAACCAGAGGAGACACAATGCCTAGATCTTTTTTGGTGAAGAGCAAAAAAGCCCACAGCTACCACCAGCCACGATCTTTGGAGGATGACTACAGCAGACTTGATACTATTTTAGCTCATATATGTGCAGGTATGTCAAAATTATATCGATTTATTGATTGTGTAGTAGATAACAATGCAAAATGCATCGCAATTATCAAACATACGTCAAACAGAAAGTGTACACCTAGGCCTATTTATTCAAAATAAAACAACGTTGTCTAGCTCTTTTTTAACCATAACCCTAACCCTTTTATTATGACATTTTTCCTTTTTAAAACTATTATTTTTCAGATTCCGAATAGATGAAAGTCAGACTTGCTTGTCAAAGAAATAGCGGGCGTACGAGTTTTTACATTTGTGTGGGGGAAACTCTAGATTCTAGATTTTAGTTGGCACAATTCGTAGTACATTAGATGTTCGTGAACAGTTGTGAGATAAATATTTTATACAGCTGTGGTTTTGACAAAAAAAAAAAAAAATGAAATTTCATAACAGAAAGCAAAACTTCAGACGAGTCAGAGTGCTGTACGGATGCCCTGACAGGCGACACGGCTGGCGCTTGTTCACCGGACTCTCACCTGGTGGATCAAGCGGATCTTTCTTCCAAGTCTCCTCTCAGCTGTGGCGGAAGCGTGTGCGACCGCTCCTCAGATTACGAAGACTTCTGGCGACCTCCATCACCATCAGCATCACCTGGTATGGATATATTTATTAACGTATTTAAGATATCTTTACATATGAATATACTTCTCAACCTGTTTTTAAACGTTTTGTTTTCTACCAAAACATTTTACACGTCGGTGAAAATTTGCATGAGGTAGCGATCATAATAGCCTGGCTGCGTGGGCACGCTTCGTTCATTTTGGATCAAATATTAATTGTAAATCTTTTGTGTTTTGTTTGAAAGTTATTTAAGATATTTGCTAAATTAACCTCAACAGATTTTGTCACAAATTGTACCTACGTAACATTTAGCCTATTAAGTATAAATTGGTTAAAACAATTCGACCCTTGGCTACACAGCTATGTAAGTCACTGTAAAATCCCAAACAGATTGATTTAATACGCGGAAATCATTAAATGATCGATTTGGTCTCTTTAACAGAGTCAGAAAAGTCCTTTTCACCCTCCGCTGAGGAAACACGGCCCTTCGCCGTCCCCTTCAGGCCTTACGCGTGGAGCAGGTACTCGGGATGTGAAATCAGACAGCTGGTACAGCATACTCTCAACCATCACCACTCTCTGGATCTCGAGCGGCCTACTCCTCCAGCCTATTACAATGACCGCGTGGTCGAGTCCTCAATGTTCACTGAAAGAGGATCTGGCGCTAGCATTTACAACAGTTATAGTTCCACTGCCACCCTATTCGAGCGCGCCACTGCCTCTGGACTTTATGATGATAGCAACACACTGGGAAAAGGAACTGAGATGAAATCCAGCTCTGATGTGATGTGTAGTCGTCTCCTGCTGAATGGCGCATACAAATGTATCAAATGCAGCAAGGTAATGTAGCGCAAATAGCTCGATCGGATTTTTAATAAATCACGATTAGACATTAGGCTATTAAAGATTGCCCTCTCCGTTCCACAGGTGTTTTCTACTCCACATGGCTTGGAAGTTCACGTCCGGAGGTCGCATAGTGGAACAAGACCTTTTGCTTGCGACATCTGCGGGAAAACGTTTGGACACGCAGTCAGTCTGGAACAACACAGAGCTGTTCACTCACAGGTAGAGTACTCGAGTTTTGTTCTTATTTGGTATTATAATAAAAATCATAGCAAACACGTCTAAATTAAATCGATTGAATGCAAAAACGAATTTTTAAAAACACGCCTTTTATCCCACAGCAGAGAAGCTTTGATTGTAAAATCTGTGGGAAAAGTTTTAAAAGATCATCCACTTTGTCCACTCACCTCCTCATACACTCCGATACACGGCCCTATCCGTGCCAGTACTGCGGAAAGAGATTTCACCAGAAATCAGATATGAAGAAACACACATTCATCCACACAGGTAAGCTAAATACATGGAAAGAACTTTTATCTATAGAAATAGAATTTTGGATAGAAACGCTGACGTATGGATTTTCTCTCCCAGGGGAGAAGCCACACAAATGTCAGGTGTGTGGGAAAGCTTTCAGTCAGAGCTCCAATCTGATAACACACAGTCGAAAACACACCGGATTCAAGCCGTTTGGATGTGACCGCTGCGGCAAAGGATTCCAGCGCAAGGTCGATTTAAGAAGACACAAGGAAACACAACACGGACTGAAGTGAGGAAACACTTCAGGACTTTACCCAACACTATTGGACAACCCATCGGGACTTTAATAGTCTTTTTAATTTAACAAGCTACAAATGCTCGTTCATAAAACATTAAATCAGTGTTTTAGAGTAGACGACTAATAGCGTTTACATTAGTTGTAGAGCTGTTTATGCTGTGTGAGATTTGCCTACGAGTCAGCAGCAGGCCGGCAGGTCTGGCAGCTTTCATGGCGATGTTATACAGGGTATCACAGGGTATCTTGATCCAAATCAATAGCCCGCTGCAGAGACATGCCAGGCATCGCGTCTGAACCCAAAATATTATCACCAAAATAATCAGGGACGAAATATAACCGCCGCGAGAAAGGACACTGTATCACCCAAAATATCAGCTGAAGGAAAAATCACCGCATCTCAAAAGAATGTCACTTTGTTGTCAACGCTGCAAAGGGAATGCTGGCAAAACAAGCACTACAATAGACTGCGAGATTTCATCAATAAAAGGATTGTTTGTGTAGGCTACTATAGCCCAACTTAAATGATCTGGCAACTTGTCGAAGTCTTTCCATTCATCATTTTTTCTTTTCTGTTCGTTTTCTTTAGCGTAGGCTAAATAAACAAATATGTATAAGAACGCAACTGTCTATACCTTTTCAAATAAATTAAAACGATAAATTAAATTAAATTTGTTTTATATCATTTACACTATTTATTGGAATAAAGGATTTTACGGAGAGATATTTCGTGTGTATTTTATTTTTATTTTTGTGTATAATTTTCAAAGTTTGTATAACCTATTGTTTCATAGATTTATAAAATCTCTAGCTACGTATATTGCGCAACGAATAACTTAGGCTATCTTGAGCTAAGCATAGGCTTTTTCATTTCATGATTGTAAATGAAAGCATCTCATTATTTTAATAATTCAGTATTTCATTACATGTTTAAAATAAAATGATTTATTCGAAACAACTGTGGGAAATTCCAAATGTGTTCCGCAATCAGTGCGTTATTTTCAAGATAACAAATATGGGAAAGACCAATAAATAGGTTAATGGAAAGTCAATAATTATTTTATATTAGAAAGGAAGGGGAAGAGAAGAGAAAAATGTGGAAAAATAAAGATGATTGATCAACTATGTCTTATGTCTTTAAATACAATAACATTTCAGCCTACTAATTCACTGAAGGTTGACAGGAGATAGCTAAGTCACAAAACATATCCATTGAAAACCAAGAATAAGTTATGCTCGTATTGTTTTTTTTTTCTGAAGCTCGAAGTAATATTTTGAATATTTACATTCAAACATTTGGTTGTCAACTGATTGTCAGCTTTTCCAACGATTTATTGCACAGCCCGAGAAATGAATGTCACATTTATTGAACACTAGCCTACAATTTATACGGTTTATTTTATACTTTAATTCATAATTAACTGCAGAAATTATGAATTAGTAGCACAGATAAATTAGTCATAAAAAACAGGATAAATCTGGCCAAAACCTTACATTTTTTAATCGAAATTTAATTATAGGCTACCTGTTTTCAGATGTCGTCAAATCGAACGTCTATTTGTTTTTCTGCCTTATCTGACCATGAACATAATTATCCCCTTTTATTTACACTCTAAACACTCTTGGATTTCTCCTGTTGAGACTGAGTGTAAATAAAGGGAGTTTATTCAGCAGAAACAGCTCATTCCCGCGGAACAATAGGGCGGGTCAGTGCATTCTGCTTCCCTGCAGCCTAAAATGGCCCCGGGGATATAACGTCAACTTTTCTAGGTATCTGGCACAGTGAAGGTAAATAATGTACGGTCTAAAATCTGTTTGTAAAAACGCAACCGCCCATATACGCCGAAAAAAAAAAAAA